ACCCCAAGATATTTTATATTGTTTGTGGGTATTGTAAAAGGTGATGTTTCTCTGATTTCTCTCTTAGTACATTTATTGTCTATTTATAGTAGGGTTTGCTGATTTTTTTAGTTAATCTTGTATCAGCAACTTCTGTAAAGGTGTTTATCTGCTGTAGGAGTTCCCTGCTAGATTTTTCAGGTCACTTATGTAGACTATCATATCTTCTGTAAATAGTGAAAGTTTTACTTCTCCCTTTCCAATTTGTATCCCCTTGATCTCCTTTTGTTGTCTGATTTGCTCTAGCAAGAACTTCAAGTACAATATTGAAGAAATATGGAGAGAGTGGTCAACCTTGTCTTGCTCCTGATTTCAGAGGACTTGCCTAGAGTTTTTCTCCATTTAGATGGTGTGGGTAGTTGGTTTGCTGTATATTGCTTTTATTATGCTTAGGTATGTTTCTGTGATCCCCGATTTCTCCAAGACCTTTATCATAAAGGAGTGTTGAGTTTTGTCAAAGGCGATGATCATGTGGTTTTTCTTTTTCAGATTGTTCATATGGTGGATTACACTGATGGATTTTCAGATGTTGAACCATCCCTAAATCCCTGGGATGAAGTCTAGTTGATAATGATGGAATATTTTTTCTGATGTTTTCTTGGATTCATTTTGCCAGTATTTTAGTGACTATTTTTACATCAATGTTCATGAGGGAGATTGTTCTGTAGTCGCCTAATTTAGTTGTGTCTTTGTGTACTAAGGCAATTGTAGCCTCGTAAAAAGTGTTTGACAGTCATCCTTCTGCTTCTAGTGTGTGGAACAATTTGAAGAGTGTTGGTATTAGGTTTTCTTTGAGTTTCTGGTAGAATTCTGCACTGTAACTATGTGGTCCTGGACTATTTTTTATTGGAAGATTTTTTGATAGCTGCTTCTATTTCTTTAGGGATTTTAGGTCTACTTTGTTTATCTGTTCTTGATTTAATTTTGGCAAGTGACATCTGCCTAGATAATCATCCATTTTCCCTTAAGTTTTCCAATTTTGTGGAGTACAGGTTTTCAAAGTGTGACTTGATGATTCTCAAGATTTCCCCAGTGTCTGTTGTTATGTCCTCATTTTTATTTCTGATTGTGTTAATTTGCATGTTCTCTCTCTGAGAACCAGAACAAGACAGACAATCCTTTATCCAACATAAAAAAGCAAAGAACCAACTCTTTGTTTCATTGATTCTTTGTATTGTTTTCTTTGTTTCTACTTTATTAACTTAAGCTCTCAATTTGATTATTTCCTGGAATCTACTCCTACTGGGTGAGTTTGCTTCTTTTGTTCTAGAGCTTTCAGGTGTTCTGCTAATTCTTTAGTGTGTCTATTCTCCAGTTTCTTCATGTGGACACTTAGTGCTTATGTTTGGATGGATTGTTCTATAAATGTATGTTAATTCCAATTGGATCATAACTTCTGTGAGTTCCTTTATCAAGTTTCGGTCTGGTGGTCCTGTCCATTGGTGAAAGTGGGGTGTTGAAGTCTCTCACTATAAGTATGCAGGGTCTAATGTGTGATTTGAGTTTTAGTAATGTTACTCTTACGAATGTGAGTGCCTTTGCATTTGGGACATAGATGTTCAGAATTGAGACTTCATTGTGGTGGGTTTTTCCTGTGATGAATATGAAATGTCCATTGTCATCTCTTTTGATTAATTTTAGTTTGAAATCTAATTTTTTCTACATTAGGTTAGGTACACCCACTCTCTTCTTAAGTTCATTTGATTGGAAAATATTTTCTGAACCCTTAACTCTGAGGTACCATCTGTCTTTGAAGTTGAGGTATGTTTCCTGTATGCAGCAAAGGGATGGATTCTTTGTTTGTATCCATTCTGTTAGCCTGTGCCTTTTTTTCAGGTGAGCTATGACCATTGACATTGAGGGATATTACTGATCATTGAATGTTGTTTGTTGTTTGTTTCAGGTTCATTTTTTGTGGTGGTATTGTGTGTTATTTCCTCCCCCTATTTCTGGCTTTTGGTAATGTGAGATTACCTATTTCCTATGTTATTTGAGTATAGTGATCTTCCTTAGGTTGTAGTTTTCCTTCCAAACTTTCTGTAGGGATGGGTTAGTGGATATGTATTGTGTGAATCTGGTTTTGCCATGCAATATCTTGTTTTCTCCATGTGTACTGATTAAGAGTTTTGCTGGGTATAGTATTCTGGGATGGAATCTGTGTTCTCTTAGTGTTTGTAGAACATCTCACCAGGATATTCTGGTTTTCCAAGTTTCCATGGAGGAGTCAGGTGTAATTCTGATAGGTTGGCCTTTGTATGTTACTTGGTTGGTTTCCTATTGTGCTCTTAATATTATTTGTTTATCTGTATGTTTGGAGTTTTGATTATTATATGGTGAGGGGAATTTTTTTGGTCCAGTCTATTTGGTGTTCAGTACGCTTCTTGTACTTCATGTCCTCCTTCATGATGGAAAATTTTTCTCCTATGATTTTGTTGAATATATTTTCTGTGCCTTTGAGCTGTGCTTCTTTGCCTTCTTCTGTACCTATTATTCTTAGGTTTGGTTATTTCATGGTGTCCCATATTTCCTGGATATTTTTATTAAGGTTTTGTTGGATTTAAGATTTTTTGACTGATGAATCTTTTTTCTGTAGTTTATATTCTGTTCCTTAGATTCTGCCTTTCATGTCTTGCATTCTGTGTGGTTTTCTTGCAGCTTTTCTATTTTCAGCATTCCCTCAGTTTGTGCTTTCCTTATTGTCTCTATTTCAGTTTTCAGGTCTTGAACTATTTGAATTGTTTCCTTCATCTGTTTGATGTTTTTTAGTTCTTGGCTTTCCTTGCTTTCTTTAAGAAATTTGTTGATTTGTTGCATTTTTTGGTTTATGTTTTCTTCTATTTCTTTAAGTGATTTTTCTTATGTGCTCTTTGAGGGCCTCTATCATTTTCATGACATTGTTTTGAAGGTCATTCTCTTCTGTTTTATGTGTGCTGAGATGGTCAGGTCTTGCTGGTGTAGAGTCTCTGGACTCTTTTGGTGTCATATAAGTTTTTCTGTTGTTTGGTGGTTCTCATACAGTAGTCTTCCCATCTCTTCTTCCAATGGTTATAGGTGACGTCTCTCCCTCTCCTGTTGGGTATGAGTTCAAGGCTCTATCCTCCTCCTCCTCCTCCTGCTTCTCTCTCTCTCTCTCTCTCTCTCTCTCTCTCTCTCTCTCTACTCTCTCTCTCTACTCTCCCTCTCTCTCTCACCTCAAGGGTGGAAGGGCAAGCCAGGAATGATAACCAATGGGATTTCCTTCTTTGTTCTGCCTCCAGGTCCATCTGTGTGGTTCCATGGCACGAAGGGTCTGACTGCTGAGGATCAATGGATTTGAAGAGAGTAAGGTGGGTTAGAAGAGGCCTTGGGACTCATCTCTTTACCAAAGGGTGGAGGGGCAAGAAAGGAATGTTGGCTTATGAGGTTTCCTGCTTTGATTTGCCTCAGATCCCTCTGCGGGGTTGGTGGCAGGAAGTTTCTGGCCCACATGTTTTCTTTAAGATTACCTATGTATAAATTTTTGGCTATCATTCCTACCATTATAACTTTTAAATCCACCCCTTTGTTACAGATTATACAAGGTTTTAATCATATCCAATATGCTTACAAATCTTGATGTAAGTTTTAGAAATCTTGAGATGAGATTTTTACCTTAGCAAAATTTTCAGAAAGTTAAATCAAATCCAAAAGAAGATGAGATGAGTAGCAATAGTCCTTATTGAGAATAGTCGCGTCATTGAATTTAGAGGAGCCATACCCTAACACTAGAGACAGATTTTAAATCAAGGGGAACAACATTAAACAGCACTCTAATGCAAGAAGGAGTTGAGAGAAGCAACAGTCAATGAAGGAAGAGTGTGTGTAGGCTGTGTACATGTTGCAGCTGGCCTACTCATTTGCTTTCTACCCATCCTGTTAGGTCTTGCTCCTACCACAGTATTGGGGCTAGACAAAAACAAAGAAGAGAAATAGGGAATAGCTTTCTATTTTCCTGAACCCTCACAGAACTTGTAAAGGTTCCAAATAATATTAGGATCTAAGGTGCTATCAGGTGGCCCTTTGGATTGATTATCTAAGGAATACTGAAATTTGATTGTGAAAGTGAATACATTTAGTGCCCTTCAGGTCAGTGTCAGGTGGAGAACCTGGAGGTTTTCTAAGAGGCATCCCAAGGAAAATGAGAGGGGGAAGACATGTTCCCATTGATGAGAAGAAAGGAAAATGTCACTGCAGCATGTAGTCATGGGTGTTCCAAGGACTCATGGAGGACCAAATGAGGACCAAACCATTCAGTAGGTCTTTACCAAACTCATCAGGGGACAGGGGCTTACCCAGAGTAAGCCATTAGGGAGACTTGGTTCCCAGTACCAGGGCTTTCAAAGAGGTGAGACAGTAAGAACAAAAACAGAGCTTTAGGAGGAGGGGTCTCATCCATATGTAAGGGTTGAGGAATAGGTTCACAAAATCTACAAGGGCATAAAGGAGCTGTGGAACTATGGGCAGCTCCAGGGGGAAGATTCGAGAAGAGGGCAGGAAGGGGTACAATAGCCTTGCTTGGACTAAGGGAACTGCAGGATTAGAGCTTCAAGGAAGATGGGATGTGGTCATGTGAACAGGGTCAGTCACAGCTTTAAAGACTGTTTCTGGAGGTACCTTCACTTCCAAGAGTAACAGAGGGGTGCCAGACACTCAATGGTAACTTCCTCATACTCAGGGAAACATTTACATGGACCAAAGGCGAAACTTACCTAAATGCTGCTGGTGGATGGAGTGCTGAGCAATTGGTTAGCCAGTGGCTGAGTCTGTTGAAGGTGGACTGGAGATGAGGGATAGGGTAACAGTGAGGCTTAGACCATGAGGGGAAACACAGGCTCTAGAGAGCCTATCTGAGTCCCAGCACCAAATATAAGCATTGCAGCTCAGATGGAAAGGTATCCTGGCAGCTGGAAGTCAAGGAATATCACAAAGTCACACCACACAACAAAGCTCACACGAGATTTATTTGGAAGGAAAAAAGTCAGGAATGAGGCTGCTTCTGCTTGGGCAAGAAACAGAAGCCATCTGAATGGGATACAGGGGTTATAGAGATGTTACGAGGAAGGGGGTGGATCTTTTCATAGTTGAGCTTTCAAGGATGGACATTGGTGGGATTTTATGTCCAGAGACCTTTTTACTCTTTAGGAGGGTCAAGCAGTTATGGCAGTTAGATATACTGTATGTGTATCCTGGCAGGTAAAGGTTCTCAGGGGAGGAACATTGCAACTCCTGTGACTTGAGGGGCTTACAATTTGTACAAGGAACTCATCATCAACTTCGATCACCTGCCCATTCTCAATAGAGAGGTACAAAAGCCAGCTATAGCCATGGTATCATTATTTGTCTTCACTGACCTCAACGAGTCCCTCAATCAATCATTAAAAGTGTGTCTTCATAAACCTTAAATAGTTTCCAAAGATTTTCTACCCCAAAGTCATTAACAGAAACATCTTTAACTTTACTAAAAATTTATAAGTCTAAATTCTTTCTAAGGAATCAGGAATCTGCTCCAACAGAAATACTTGGAAAAAGTCAATCACTATTTTAAGGATCAGTAATCCTGCCCTGTGAGGGGTTAGTTTCATACAACCCACAGATTTTGATGGATGTGGTAACCATGAAGACAACAACCATAGCTATGCTCAATAACAGCACGAGGGCCTCAGGACAAGTAGTCTTCTGGGCTTGCCCAGCCATGTTCCATGAGTTTGAATGCTCTCTATTGATCTCCTTGAATGACCTCCGACAGAGAACTTTGGCATCTTCAGTCACTGTGTCAAGGAAAAGTAGTTGCAAGTAATAGGTTTTCCTAAAGTGAATAGCTGAAGAAAGGGGCCCACCAGTTGCTGACATAAATGTCTCCAAGTATTTCATCAACATTTCCTCTGATGTTTCTTCTTTCTTAGTTTCCAATAAATAAGGAGATTTAATGATTTTTTTCAGTTGTTCAACAGGCACTTGGAAATCCTTGGCAATGAATTCCAGAGATTCAGCATCCACCCCAAAGGTGACTTGATAGTGGTTTAAATTCACCTTTAGCTTCTCCACATCATCCCTGAGGATGCCCACCATAGGAAGTACAGCCATGATTGCAGACATGCTAGCTTCCAACCAGATATAATTCTGCATAGACTTGCGTTTTCTGTCAATGGCTGCCTCCGTAATGTTAGGCAAGGAAAGCATAAAATTGTGGCGCTTCTGAGCAGGAAGATCCTTTATCAGGGTGTCCATCAGAACCGGAAAATCATAGTCAGATAAACTGATGTTAGAGATCAAGAAAATCTGTGGTGCATCCATGTTATTCTGAATAAAGGTTTTCTCACAGTAGCTTCTGATCATCTGCAGGATCCTTTCTCTGTCAAATGTATGTGGTTTGCACTTCTCATTGTCTAAATCAAAGTCTACCTTGGTTCTCACAAAGTAGTAATTCTTTCCCATTATTCTGATTGCTTTGGCAAGGTCCAGTTCAAGTTTGGTAAAACGTGTGGCTGAAACAATAATAAAGAAGTCATACTCTTGGAATTTCACTTTCTCCAGATAATCTTTCGGTGGAAAGTTCATTGTTCCGATGCCAGGCAGGTCCCACAATGTCAAAGTTTTAACTTTGGGGTGTTTGTATGGAGTTCTCTCCATAGTCGTCTCCACTACTCCAACTTCAGCTGCACTTTTGTCTTCATGCCCAACTTCTCTCAGGGCATTGATCAAGCTGGACTTCCCTGCTCCAGACTCTCCTGTCACAGCAATGCTTATTGGGGCATTATCAATATTTTTTAATGCATTACTGATTACAGAGTGTAACCCCTCAATGTTTCCTTTTTTCAGATTATACTCTATTAAATGGATGGTTTCCTGAGAAATGATTTCATTTTCTCTCTTAAACTTCTTAAAATATTCAGTGAAGTCAGACACCAAATCTCCATGGTCTTCATGCTCAGCTGTATAAGAGGAGGACTGACTCATAATTGTGATCAAAACAGTTACTGAAAGAAGGAAGGAAGAGTAAGTTGCAAGAGATCAAAGATTCCTTCATCCTTAGCACCATGTTCCTTCACTATGTTGCATTCTTAATTACATTCTGATTTTGATTAGTTCCCATATATTTTGTGCTGATTGGTTTGTGTTTGTGCCTTCAAATGAATGGAAAGTTAATCAACAAACACATAGCTTCTCAAGTTGGAAAGTAAGTAATAATGAATGATGATTGACATATGTTTAATCAGTCTCTAATGGTCAAATGAATCAATTTTGTCTGTGTTTTGATATTGTCAAGGATGTCAGTAAGTCCAACTGTAATTTTGTCTGAAATAACTTCAATTATTTCAGATTTACTTTCCTTCTGTCTTTTTTATGACATGAAGCTTGTCTCCATGAGGAATATTACTTACAATAACATAAAGCTTATTATTCATAAAGACCATGTTAAATTCCATTTATTCAATAAATATTTTAGAGTCTTCAAGTCATCAATAAGATTAATTGTTTTCTTTTAAACTTTTACTTTATGAAAGCAATCTAACTGTGCACTGCAGATATAGTCATGTGGGAGAGATCTTTCCCAGTGTGAATAAAGCCTTGGGTTCAATCCTCAGCACCTCCTCAAATGCAGCTGCTTATGGATCCCTTTGATTCTGGTACTCAGGGAGTAGATATAAGATGGTCAGTCCCTCCAGGTCATCCTTGATACATAGTGAGTTAGAGGCTAGCCTGGCCTCCTTGAGACTCTGTCTAAAAAATAAGAATATCAAATTCAGCAAGATTACTCAGCAGGTAAATACTCTTGCTGTCAGACTTAAAGACCTGAGTTTTATTGTTGGGTATTTAGTTCAGATCTCCTATTTCTTTCCTTTGTTCTCCACAATCATACCTATTAAACTTCCCATGGCAGCACAGTGGACCCCCACAATCAGCTAAGGAAACAGCAAATCTCTGTTGTCATCCTGAAGCTTCCATTTTATGTCTCATTCATGTCAAATCAGTTTGCGGTTTTAGCCTCTATTTCCAAATCCAATTACAATTGATTATTTCTCCTACATTATCTTCTTCAAGACTTCCTCAATCCCAGTTTTTATGTCATCGACATTAATGTATTTCCCATGGTTGTTCTTGCAACAACATGAATGATCAAACAGCCAGAGTTATCCTATTGACACTGAAGTCATGTGATGTCAACTTAATTCTAAGAAATACTATAAGGATACCATCTCACCCAGGGAAAGTTCATTACGTATAAAGTGCAATAGGTTTTACTACAGTTATGCAGGCTTTAGCTTTGCCATTTACATTTGGAAATAATAATGTACCCAGCTTTATCATTCACCATCATTTCTTTATCATTCACCATCAGAACTCACTGCCACATAATGTGTGTCTGTCTAGGATCAGTTGCTGTCACCCTCCTACAGTATAATGAACTCAGATAACAGATTGTCCCTGTGTCTTGCTCACTTCTTCTTCACCAACACACATGTATATGGTGGTTTATAACCAGAGAATGAATGGGGAATATGAGGAAAGCACTTGGATTTATTGTGAATATTTGTGCAAGTTCTGTAATTCTAAAAGTTCAGTGGGAAATTGAAGTGTTACTACATTAAAAAAGAGTTGGTACCAACAGTCTGGTGAGGGCATAAAAACAGTCTAATATAAAAGAGGGATCTCTATAGAATAACACTGTGCATAAGTGCCTTCACAAGCGTATACAGACTCACTGTACATGCAGCCCCTGTCCAATGCAAAGGACAAATGGGGATCTGTTTGCAGGATACAAGAACTGCAGAACTGTGTTTAAACTGACTGCAGATCTAGGCTAGGAAGATGTGGGAAAAGAAATGTCCTAAAAGAAAAGCTAAACCTGTTTAAATAAACACCATTGCCTGATTTACTGTTGAGGGTGACTGTCACTCACAGGACAGGCACAATGTCCCTGAAAGCACAAATCCTATTCTCATCTTTTCTGTTTTCCTCTAATTCTTTCAGTTTTAGTTCTCAGATTTGTGATGCAGACTCCAGTGTGATAGTTGTGTGCAAGTTTTTTTCTACTGAATATGAGCACTGAGAACAAGAATGCTGTGACACAGCAACATTACAAAAGGAAGCCTGCCTAAATGACAGCTGTCACCCCATCCTGACACAGCTTGCAATCCTCAAGATGGAGAGAATATTGTTTGCATCCCTGCTTTACAGTAAAGAAAATCACAGTGAAGAAGATTCTTCAGACACAGCTTTGCACAGTCAGCTACAGCAGAAGCAGCACATAGAGAGACTTCTTCTCCACAGTCCAGAGGGCTCAGGATCTAAGGAATAAAATAGTTGACCCTGAATCTGGAAGCAAGTTGAGAGTGAGATGCAGCAGCCTCACACACACTGCAGATGTTCTCCCAATGACACATCCATTTACAATCATTTTAGGGGAGGAATAAGGCAAGCCAGAACAATTGGTCACATTTTATCAAAGCTAACATCCCGATCTTGTCCTTTAGCTTTGCCTCAACTGTAAGGACTGGCTGAGCCCATCCATGAGGCAATCCTGTCAACCTACCACTAAAGCACCCTAGATTCCATGCTGAGGATTCCCCACTCTCAGGCTGTTCTGAAATGTCTTGTTACCTCTCAAATCTTTAGAGAAAAGAGATGGTGAGGTTTAGAATTTAGATTTGAATGCTCCTGCCCCTTAGCAGAAAACCCCGAGTCTAATGTATGCACTTACTGTAGTTCATCTGCAGGAACCACTGTCCACTGTGCTGCAGTCTCCTATGGACCCACCCATGCCCTCCTCTGAAGGACTTACATATTCATTTGACTTCTGTTCTCCCTTCTCAGGGTGTTTTGGCCAATCACAGTAGGGCATGGATCTAGTCGCTTTTCAGAATCACCTGGGTTTCCAAGAAAAGGAAAGTGAAATAAAATGAACAGCTGTTTGTAATTCTGTCAACACTTCATTTCTTGGCAGGAAAATCTGCACTTTCCTAAAATAACAATGTGGAATGGGGCTTGTAAAAAGAAAGGGGAAACAGAGAAGCAGCTTACTAGCTGGTCTGGACAGCTACCCTTGAGAAGTAATTTTCCTGATCTGTGACTCCACAAATGCAGCCTAAACTTAAGTAACACAACACATGGTCTTGGGTCCAGCATTGATACCAAATATGGTCTCAACCAAGAAACAACCCATTTGAAACCCTCTGACTAAAACCTCGTTTCTTCACAATTGTCGATTCATGTTCTTTAATTCTTGCCATTATCAATTCCCCTCTCAATGCAGGGCTTGGCAGGTCTTACACATGCTGTCACATTCACACTCAGTTTATATGTGTAGCTGCCTTGCTGTATCCAGAAGGCATTGCATTTATCACAACTCTGGCTCTTTCTTCCATAACCAATCCTGTGCCTTGGAAGTGGAAACAAGTATATTACTTTTGGTGCTGGACATTTATCAATGTCTTATTTTATTATCTTGACCAGTTGTGGCTATCTGTACTGATTATCATCTAATGCAAACAAGACCTTCCATGATAAAGGTTAAGCAATTCCTTAATCTATGGGTATTACAGAGAATTAATAGGAACTGGTTTAAGATAATGCCCTTTTAGCAAAATAATAGTAGGTTTTCACTAGGTTGTATGACCAATATTGTCTTAGATGAATGTCTAGATAGCTTACCAAGTATAGATATCATCAGTGGAATAGTACTAAACCCAATAAGGATATAGTTGGTTTCTATCATAGCAACTTTGTCACTATTACAGTGGTGGTTATATATTATCTGGACAATCATTATTTTTGATCACCTGGATATGGCTAATATTTTATTTTCTCCTCTGCTCATGAGGCTAGAAACTTCCTGCTCTATGAAAGCTAAATATTAAGGATAGATCTTTTGGGTCAGTATCAGCTTGATATCTACATTTTCTGTAACTCAGGAATGTGGTGTTTTCACTCACAGGATCCTACTACCAAGTTCTGGAAGGCAACCAAGAGCACTGACAATGGCCTGTAATTATCATGATCACCACTCACCAACAAGTCCATAAAAGTTAAGTAATTCCTGGGTCTGGGCTTTTTATTTGTTATCCTGTGCTGTCTAACAGGGACATTGCTGCCTCAGTAGAGGGCAACTCCATCTTCTTTTTATACGTTTGTAGATATATTATAGGAAGCTTGTACATTTTGATAACCCTTTCATGTTGTTTATTTATTCTACCTTCAGTCACCTTCCCTATTATCAACTCCCAGCTCAATTTAACCCTTCTTCATCCATAATTCTCTTTTAAATTCCATCTTCCCTGTGTTGCAAGTCCCACTTCATGGCATCATAGTAATTTCAAAACCTCTGTGGGTATTCCAAATGGAACACATATATCTTAGGGTTGAAGCCAAGATCTGTGCATGAGAGGGATTAAAGGATGTTTGTCCCTCTGGGCATCTCTTAAGTTTCTTAATATGATTGTGTCCATCTACATCCATTTCCTCACAAATTTCATAGTTTCGGTTTTGTTAACAGATGAGCAATATTCCATTCTGTAGAGTTCCATGTTTTCATCATTCATTCATCTGTTGATGGGCCTGTAGACTGTTTCCATATCTTGGCTATTGTAATTAGAGTATGAATGAATAGAATGAGTAGCTCAGTAGTAGGAGATGAAGTCATTTAGGAATATTGCCAGGTGTGGTGCAGCTGAATCATGATGTAAACCAATTTTCCCTTTTGTGGTTCTTCCACATATTACCTCAGTAACTTCCCTAGCTTGTCCTGTCACACTCAGTGGCTGAGTGTTCTACTCTCCCTGCCTCCACAACACCATTTGTTGCCATTTGTATTTTTGTTTTTAGCCACTCTGACTTGAGTGAGGTGAAATCTTAAGTGGTTATGACTTGTGTTTCCTTGATGGATAAGAATGCTGTATATTTAAGAACTGTTTCTCACCCACAGCAGACCAAGCAACAATAAATGGCACACTTACTGAAAGTAAAAGTAAGTATTTATTGTAGAAATTACTCACAAGTGACAAACAAGTAACCCAGATGAGTCAAGTAGTTTTCCACCGCCGAACTGGAAGCCGGAAAGCCAGAAAGCCGGAAAGCCAGAAAAGAGAGGGAGACTTCCACTATTCAGTCTTTTATACCTTCCTTAAAAACGCCCCTAGCCATGCCCAAAAGTGGGCCTGGATAGTGACGTAGTTCACCGCCTATGTCCGTATACATCTTTAGTCATGCCTAAAGTGGGTGTGGTTAGTGGTGCGGTAAACTGCCCTTTTATTACCTCATCTGTACGTGCCTCTAATAAGTCACATGGTTAATGGTGGAGCACTGTTTCCTCCTACAAGCAGCCCCAAGTCTACTGATATCCCTGGGTTACTCCCACCCCACTCAGGGGAGAGGTAAACTTGGACTCCCTCTCAGGCCTAACTTCTGCTTGCCCACTCTGGGATCTCCTGGCCTGGGGATGCAGGCAGATCAATTCATCCACTGCAGATTGAGCAACTGCAAGTCTGCTGACAGCACTGTGCTAGCCCAGCTCCCACCACTGGGAGAGGGAGTGCCTCAGACCTGCCTGCATCCACCATGAGATCCATCAAAGTGCTGGACCTGCTTTGACCCATCAGAAGACAACCTTGGACCTGTACACACCAGAAGAGGAAGAGACCCCACCTGTACTCACTGTAAGAAGGGATGGGAAGACGACAAAATAAAAAAAAACAGCAGAAAAAAATTGCACCATCATAGGCTAGGGAATCTACTCCAGCAAGACCTGAATAACCCAACACAGATGAAGCAGAAAATAATGACCTTAAAAACAACTACATTAAGATGTTAGAGACCCAAAAAGAGCAAATGAGAAAATCCTTTAAAGAAATGGAAGAAAAGACAAACAAAACTTATTAAAAAAAAACAAGTGAAACAGTGCAAGGTTTGAAAGCTGATAGAGTCAATAAAAAAAAATCTGGTCTGAGGGAATGCTTGAATTAGAAAAGATCAGGAACTACAGAAGCAAGCATAACCAACAGAGTAAAAGAGATGGAAGAGAGAATCTCAGACGTTGAAGATACACCAAGAGAAATAGATTCATCTAACAAAGGAAATCTTAAGCCCAACAAATCCCTAGCCCAAAATATCCAGGAAATATAGGACACCATGAAAAGGTCAAACCTAATAATAACAGGTATAGAAGAAGGTGAAGAAACCCAACTCAAAGTTGCAGAAATCATTCAACAAAATCATAGAAGAAAACTTTCCCAACCTAAAGAAACACATGACAATGAAAGTATGAGAAACCTACAGAACACCGAATAGAGTGAACCACAAAAAGTCCCCTCTTCATATAATTCTGAAAATACCAAACATATTTAATAAAGAAAGAATATTAAGAGCAGCAGAGGAAAACGTTCAAGTAACATATGAAGACTAACCTTTCAGAGTACACCATGGAAACTTTCAAAGTCAGAAGGTCTGAGATAGATATTCTCCAAATACGAAGAGATCACAGATGCCAGCCTGGACTACTATACCCGGCAAAGCTTTCAACAACTATAGATGGAGAAAACAAGATATTCCATGACAAAACCAGATTTAAACAATACATATCCACTAATCCAGCCTTACAGAAATCACTGGAAGAAAAAAATCCAACCTAAGGAAGTTGTCTACACTCACAAAGACATTGACAATAGATAATCCTACTTTAACAAAGAAAAAGTAGGTAAATCCACACATAAAACCACCACCACCACCAAATACAAAACAAACAAGAATTAACACTCAATGGTCTTTAATTTTCCTCAAGATTAATGGTCCTAACTTGCCCTTAAAAGACACAGGTAACAGAATGGATATGAAAACATCATCCAGCCTTCCTTCTGCTGAATATAAGACACACACCTCAAAATCAAAGACAGACATTACCTCAGAGTAAAGGGTTGAGATAAGATTTTCCAATCAAATGGACACAAGAAACAAGCTAGTGTAGCTATCCTAGTATCTAACAAATTAGACTTAAAACTAAAATCAATCAAAAGAGATGAAGAAGAGCATTTCATATTCATCACAGGGAAGTCCATCAAGATGAAGTCTGAATTCTGAGCATCTATGTCCCAAATAGGAAGGCACCAACATTCATACAAGAAACATTACTAAAACCCAAATCACAAATAAGACCTTATACAGATATAGTGGGAGACTTCAACACCCCATTCTCACCACTAGACAGGACCAGTAGACAGAAACTTAACAAGGAAACAAAGGAACTGACAGAAGTTATGATTCAATTGGTTTTAACAAACATCTATAGAACATTTCATTCAAACACAAAGAATATACCTTCTTCTTAGGGCCACATGGGACCACATACTCAGCAACATAGCAAACTCCAACAGGTATCTTATCCAACTACCATGCTTTAAAGTTAGAATTCAACAACAACACAAATTGCAGAAAACCTACAAACTCATGGAATTGAACCACAGGCAGTCGCAAGGGTCAAGGAAGAAATAAAGAAAGAAATTGAAATGTGAATCAGGGGAGTGCCAGCATAGAATCCCATTGCCAGAGAGTCTGAGAAGCAGAACCTTCAACCAGCAACTGATGAAAGCAGAGGCAGACACCCACAGATAAACACTGAACTTAACTCCTGGAACCCAGTGTCAGAAAGGGAGAACTGAATGGCAAAGGAGTTAAGACTGGGCTGGTTTATCCCACAGAAACAGTTGACCTGACCAAGGTGGAGCTCTTGTCTACATACTGATGGCTGTGTGAACAGCATGGGACTGACCCAGACCCCCTGAATATGAGTGTCAGTGAGGAGACCTAGGTAATCTATGGAGCCTTGAATGCCCATCCCACAGTGAGGGATGCTCTCTCAGCCTGGACTCTTGAAGGAGAG